GACTTGATCTCTAAAGCCCAGCGAAGAGAGTGTCAGGGTAAGATGTCAGGATTCATAAACTTCCAGCCCCTCGTTAGAAGGGATACTAACTCTCAAGCCCAAGCAGCTCGGGACAACGGGCAAAACCCTGAAAAAAGAACCTCAGATGGGCCAATGAAAAAGGAACTATTATTACTATTTTGCAGAAAAGGAAATTGGTGCTCAGAGAAGAGTCTGAACCTGAATCCAAGGCTGTGAGATTCAAGGACAAGCCCCTTTCCTTTGCTCCTCAGGCCTCACTAAGCCTTCTAAGCCTTCTGTGGTGCTGGCTCAGACACTGTGTGTCTCAGTTTCTTTGGCTGTAAAGTAAGGGAGAGGGACCACAGCAGGAGCAGGACCCTGGGCTGCCTACCCTCCAGTAGGCTGGAGGCAGAAGCAGAGCCTTGAGTCCTCATCTTGGTATCAAAGGAATTTTTTCTCTTTCAGTCTAAATAGCAGTTACGGTAGAGATCTGAAGGGAGAGGAGAGAGGGGTGTTGGTTGGGCCTCCAGTGCCCTGGGGGACTTCCCCACACTGGGACCCCAAGGCTCAGGCTCCATAAGTAGGGGCCACAGGGATTTCTAGTCCCCTAGAACAGCGATTCTCAACCTTCCTATTGCCGCGACCCCTTAATACAGTTCCTCATGTTGTAGTGACCCCCAACCATAAAATTATTTTCGTTGCTACTCTATAACTGTCATTTTGCTACTGTTGTGAATCATAATGTAAATATCTTTTTGTTTTCCGATGGTCTTAGGTGACCCCTGTGAAAGGGTCGTTTGACCCCCAAAGGGGTCGCGACCCACAGGTTGAGAACCACTGCCCTAGAAGCTGCATAGATCAGCTTGGACAATAGGCGGAGGAAGCTGGACAAGAGGCCTTTGTGTCTTCCAGGCGCAGGTCTCTGGAGGACTGCAGAGGAGGCTCAGCTGCACAGGACTGTGTGTCCACTCTACTTCTGCTCCTGGCAAGGCTGCAGCCAGCATCCTTCCTGGGCCCCTTCTGGGATCAGCAGCCAGGCACCAGTCAGCTGATATGGAGTCCAGCAGGACCCAAGGCCCTAGTGCTCTGAGCAAGCTCCTTGGCCACAGAAAGAGGCCTACTATGCACGTGTCTGGACACTGACTGTCCAAAGCCCAGACAGACAGACACTGGTTGGCGGAAGGGTGAGTGTGATTGCCTCTATTTCACAGAAAAGAAGGCCCAGAGAGGGACTGGAACAGGGTCAAAGTCTCCCAGTCAGTGCTGAAGCTCAGACACAAGCTACTCTCCTGACATCTAGACCAGAATGAGAGAGCAGGGGACAGTCATCCGTTCATCCATTCACACATTCAGCAGCTCCTGGGACCCCTGGGACGACAGTAGGAAGAAGGCAGACCTGGTCCCTGCTCTCCTGAAACTCACAGGCTATGAAAGCGACAAACATAGGGTCTCTGACCACCTAAGGCCATCAGAGTGATGCTGAGGACAGAGAAGGGAGTGATATATGTGGCTGCAGTGGTCTGAGAAAGCAGCTCAAGGGAAGCAGCTCAGGGTGAGAGAGCAAAAAGAGTGGGTGTTCAGGAAATTTCTAGTGACTCTTTCTGACAGATTAAGCAAATGGAGAATAGGGAAGTCTCCCTCCCATCCCCACCCAGTCCTCCTCTCCGGAGCTGGAGAGAGGCAGGACCCTGAATGCCTGGATTTCCTCCCTAGGGCAATGGGGAGCACCCCACCACACACACCGGGTCTCAAGCGAGGGAGGCGAGGTTTCAGGGTGGTGCTCTGAGCAGGTCCCTGTGAAGAGAGGGCACAGGTTCATGGCAAAGTCTCGCGATGGGCAGCGACAGGAGCCACACAGGCACCAGGCAAACTTTGCAAAACTTTAGCGTAGGACGGTCGCCGCCAGTCCCTCTCCGCGCAGCACTGGTGGCAGAGGCGCTGACCCCGCCGCTACATCGCTCGGCAGCGTCCCCGAGCGAATGACCGGCCGCCTGTCACTCCGGACAGGGGCGGGGCGGTGACAGGGTCTGAACAGAGTCCGCCCGCCCAGAGTTCGCCCGCCCCCGCCGGACCCGGCCGGTGCGGGAGCTACGCCGGGCGGGCGGGGCCCTCTGGCACGTGGGTCCCTGCGGCAGCGGCGGAACGCGAGCGCGGGCACCGGGGAGAGGTGGCCCCGGCATTGAGGGTGAGAGCGCCCGACCCTGGGAGGTGAGGAGTGGGCTCCCTGGAGGGGCCTGAAGCGGGGAGAGGTGGAGGTGCGCAGCCAGGGACCCGGCGGTGCGGACCCGGCCCTGGGCAGGCAGAGCCGTGTGCGTGTGGCTGTCGGAGTGGGGCACGGCTCCGAGCTGGTGTGAGCGCACCGGGGTCGGTAATCGAACTCTGTCTCCACTGGAGCGTAGATCCCAGGGAGTGAGTGCTTGTCCAGGTATTTGGGAAAGTCTGTGTGTAGGTGGGTGAGCTGGTGCGCCCCCTCAGTGTCGATAGCTGATCCTATGGAATTTGTTTATATGTGTGTGCTCTGGGGTGGGTGCCCCCTTGGTTGCTGGAGACCCGAGAACCCGTGGAAGTCTGTTGTGCCCCCTCACCCCAGTGGCACTCTGGGTGACCACCTCCCACTTGGGCGCTGGTAAGACTGGAGGATTGCTGGGGGTGTGGGGGGGGGCGGGGAGGCGGTGCGGGGGGAAGGAGAGGGTTGGGGCAGTGGCCTGGAAGGACAGTTAAGCCTCTATCAGGGGACTTTTAATCTGGCAGGCGGTGCTGTAGGAAGGGTCAGTTTGGAGAAAGGCAGTGCCCTCCCTCCACTCCCCAACTAGGGCTGCCAGTGGCTTGTTTGGGGCCCCCAGACCCAAGGGCCAGGCCCTGCTGTGGACTAAGACTGACAATTTGGGGTCTCAGGCTGGTGGCAGCTGTTCCTTTCAGCATGGTATCCCAACCTTCCCTGGGCCCACAGCCTGAGGTGCCTGGTTTGTTTTGGATCTAGACTGGAATAATGGGGAGCTTTTGAGGCTCAGGGTCAAGTCCCAGTAAAGTCTCAGTTATCTGTGGGTAGGAGTGGTTGAAAAGGAGATTCTTTGAGCAGACAGGGTCCACAAAAGCTCTCCAGAGAAAAAGATGTATATTCTAATCCTACCGTGGGCACTGTGACCCTGGGCAAGGCACACTCTTGCTCTGAGCTTCAGTGGCCTCATTTGTGAAAGGGGAATAACAACGATGTAGAATTTGAGGGCTCTTGAGGAGCTGATGTGTGCGTCGTGTTCAGCACCAGTGTCCTCTTGTACTGGTTCACAGTTTGAGGGTAGGTGTGGAGAGAACTTTCTGAAAACCAAATCTCAATTTTTTTCCTCCCTGGGCTAAACTTTCACAGAACTTTCTACTGGGGTATCTGTCCACACTTCCACCCAGCCTGAACCCCTTAGCATGGGATTCAAGTCCTTCAAGAACTGGTCCTTGACAACCTCTGCAGCCCCACTCTCCTGCCTGACTCTTTGCTAATAGTAATTGCATGGAGTCTGTTGCACACACTGGACAGTTTCTTACCTCTAGACCATTGCATGACACTCTAGACACTCTAGACACTGCCTGAACTACCCTCCTACTCTCATCTTCCTCCGTTGGAGAACTACAGACTCAGGGCCCAATTCAAACGTCCCCTCCTCTGGGAAGCCTTCCTTCCTCCCCCAGAGGCTCCCTTTAGAGCCTCTTCTGGGCTTTTGACGTCCCGGTGCTGACAGCCCTGGTCCCACCTTGGACTGTCATGGTTTCAGCCTGTCTCCTTTCCAATCCCCAGGTCTGAGGCCCCCTGGAGGGCAGGAACTGAGGCTCATATCTGTGTTGCCAGGACCCTGCACAGAGCTGAGCTGAAATGAGAGAACAGCAGCAACCTCTATCACCAGCTTCCATCCCCAGCTTCCTCAGTGAAGGCCTGTCTACAGTGGAGCTCCATGTCATTACAAAGAAAGGGAAACCAGAATCAGGTCATCAGAGTGGGTGGCACAGGTTGTCAGAACGATGTGTCCTAGGGCACTACAGGACCCAGAATGTGCAGGCTGAAAAGTTGGATTTCATCCTAAAGGCAGTAGGGAGCCATGGAAGGTTTGTGAGCAGGAGAGATTAAAGGTTAGAGAAGCATTTCAGGAAGATCTCTCTGGCTTCAGGGTGGAGAATGGACTGAGTAATACTAAGTGCATGGAGGTCATGGCATTTGTGATATTGACACCAGAGCCACCCAAACATTGCTTAAAGCCTGAGCCCTTGTGTCATTGGCCAAACACTTCCCTGAGCCCTCAGGTGCTTCTGCTAAGGAATTTGTGGACACTTGGGACTCTTCCTCCCCTAGTGGGAGCCAGGAGACTGGTAATTGATCTCATCTCAGTTCTGCTCCCAACTTGCTGGGTGACCTTGGGAGCAGTTCCTACCCTGCCAACCTCTAAACGGAATCTAGAGCCAGTAAGGCCCTGTGCTGACAGTTTGTATGTGGGAAGGCCCTGGCATGGAAGGTTTGTCACTTTCCTCTTCTCCCTGCCTTGGGCTGTCCCGGGGTCTGGCCAGAGGGGTTGGAGGGTCACAATGGGCAAACCTCATAAATGGCTGTCAAGCTTGGGCTGCAGAGTAAGGCTATTGCCCCTCCTGTCCTCCTCCTGCCCTGGAAATACAGGGCTCTGAAGCTTCTGGATTCCCCAAGCACCAGCTAAAAGAGTGTGAGAACATCACCAAGGCCTTATGGGCAACTCTGTAAGTGCTTTGATTTGGCTTCTTTCCTAGCTGTAGCCCTTAGAGAGACCAAGATGCTCCTCTAAGTGTCATTTTTGCTATCTGTAAATTGGGCATGATGATTCTTGCCTCTTCAAATGCAAGGTTGCTGTGAGGGTTCTTAAGATGGTGGTCAAGGCAGGGCTTTGTAAGCTGTAAAGTGCAATGCACAGGTGACAAGTGTGATACTCATAGACTTAAATGCATTTTGGAGACAATAATAGAACATGGGTGCAATAACAAGGGATCATTCTGGGTTTTGGAATTTTAACAGTTAACTTCCTTCCTCTCCCCTTGTTCCTCTGCTTACTAGTAAAATTTATAAATGTCCATCATTTTATTCTCCACCAACGCTGTGAGGGAGGGATTATTATCCCCATTTTGCAGATGAGGAACTAGATGCTCAGAGAGAATCTAACCCAAGGTCACACAGCCAAGGTGAAAGCTGGGGCTCCTGCCTACCTCCTCTTTCTCCAGAGAGCTTTTGTGGGCCCTGTGTGCTTCTCTCCCTCCCCATTCAAGACAGAAGCTCCATCTGGCTTTCAGGCTGAAGAAAGTTTGAATCCTGCCCTGAAAACCCATCTTTAGGTCTTGCTTGTGGCCTGATGACCCAGCTGCTGATAAGAGCATGCCTGCTCAGGCCTGCCCACAGGACCAGGGAAGCCTTGCTGATCTAGTGAGGTGCCCCTGGTGAAATACTTTTTCTCTTCCTGAACTGCCTTTTGTGGGCCTGTCTGGTGTACCCTTTGGCCCACAGCTTCCTCTTGGGCTGCCTTTGTGTTCTCAGGTCTGGCCTCCACCTGCCATTCGGCCTAATGAGGGGAGGCTGGCTGTGGGTATGCATCCTGACCCACAGGGTCAGTTGCAGGACTTGGCCAGCCCAGGTCTGCTTTCTCTCTCTCTGACCATATCACCCAGAACAGGTTGGACAAAAAGAGGTACCAGTGAGTGTTTGGGAAATGAATGACTGGGTGAAAGTGGGCATAGGGTGGAAGAGGAAGGTCTTGCTCTGTGGAGAGCTACAGTTGGTTCTTGAGCAGAGGAGTTCCTCCACTCCCCTGCCACACCATCTCTTAGGCCTGAGTCATTTCGGGTTCAGGATGAGTAACTAGAGTTCCTGCTTGGAGGGTGAGCAACCTAGGCCCTCCTGGGCAACTACTTCCTCCTTGGCCCTCTACCCTGGCACCCTGGCACTGTCATTGTAGTGACAATGGCACTGCCTAGGCACTAGAGTATGAAAGGAGGGCCTCCCTCAGACTTCTTAGGGCCCACATGACCCTCCTCTCGCCCCCTTCTTCAGGGGAGGCTCCCCTATCTTATTTACCTTCCATGGGGCACCATCTTTGCACAGGTCAGTTCTGACCATGTCCTTCCCCACTTAAGCCCTGCCATGGCTTCCCAATGTCCTCAGGAAGAGGCCAAGCTCCTCAGCCTAGCACTCCAGCCTTTTCATGGGAGTCCTGTAGCCTCCCCACCTCACCCCCAGCCCAGCCCATTCTGTTCCACCTAACCCTCCACTCCAGCCTCACATGACCCCTGGCTTTGCAAAAACAAGTCACACTGTCACACCACTGAGTCTTTGTACCTGCTCCTCCTTCAATGCCCTCCTACCTTTGTGCCCATCTAACAAACTCCTAATCATCTATCAGGTCCCAGCTCACATGACCCCTCTTCTGGGAAGACCACCTCACCAGGCTGTTTAGGGGTTACCCTGGACCCCATGGCCCCTGGGCTTCCTTTGGTCATGGCTTGATCACCCAAGTGGACTTTCTCTCCATTCAAACTGGAGCTCCTCAAGGGTCTGACCGAGTCTGATTAAGTCTGGGTTTCAAGGGTCCCTATGAGGTCAGGCACATTGGGGCATTGACAGTTGTTTGCTGAGACCCTGTGACTCTTCAGAAAGTGACTTATGATTGTGTTATTCTGAGTCCAGACTCCTGTGGTTCTGAGTATCTCAAAGTCAAAGGCTATCAGAAGCAATGAGTAACAGAATGAAACATTTAACATTCACCAGAAACTCTTTGTCTTGGACTGTAAGAACCCAATGAACTCAGAATTCTGGAAGCACTCAGAGGGAGACAGTCTCAGAAGCACGGACTCACTTGTATCCTGTTCTATACTTTTGTCCCTTTTTCCACCTTGGGTTTTCCTTCCTCCCTCTTTCCCTCTAAGCTGGACCCTTTCTGCTTCTCTCCAGACCTGAACACAGCCCCTTCCAGGAGCCTCCCCTGACTGTTCTGACCATGACCCCTGCCCCTCTGCTGGGTCACCAAAGGGGTCCCCCTGTTGAGAAGTGTCTCAGTGTCTCTGTGCCATGACGGGCAGACACAGCCCCCACATCAGGACAATATATGATTTGCTAGCCTCATTGAGCACCCACCTGCCCCCTTGTCTTATTCATTCCTCATGAGCTGCTTTTGTAGTGGGAGCCCCCCCCCCCCCCCCCCCCCCCGATTGACCAGTGAAGAACCTGAGGCTCAGAGAGAGGAACCGATTTGACTGAGATTGCATATCATGGGCGGTTCCAAGTTGGAGCCTGAACCCAGGGTTCTTGCCTCTTGAGTTTGGCTGGAGGCCCCTGGGTGTGATAGGTCGATGTGGAGTCCAGGAACTTGTGGTCCTGAACTGGTTCAGCTTAGCAGCATGTCTCTGTAAGCCATGGGCTGGGCTGGGCTGGGCTGGACCGTGACAGGTCAGGGGTGGGACAGGTAGTTTGGAGTCCTGCCCTGGGGTGGGATTGGAGGCGCTCAATGCCACACTGAAAATACTGTAATTAGAACACCAGGCCTTGAGTAAGTCCCTTCCTCTTAAGGTGTCTCAGTTTCCTGATCTGTCAGGTGGGAAGACCAGTCTGGCTGATCTGAGACCTGCACACTCAGATGCACCGAGCTCAACCCCAACACATGGCTCGCACAGCCAAGATCCTGGGGACTCCCAAGATGGAGAGTGCCGCCATAAGGGGCCATAGAGCCCGAGGGCTTCCTAGAGGAAGTTCAGAGGCTTTACATTGCAACAGCACCTGTTGATAACATCTGAGGTTACCCCCTCAGCTATTTTCCCAGACCAGCCCCAATATTTGTGGTGCAGAAAGCACTCCAGGCAAGGCGGGGATCCCAAGGTGGGAGGACCCCCGCATTGGGGGCAGAGGATGACTTCCAAGATCCTTCCTTTCTTCTAACCCAACCTTGCCCTCTACTCCTCTCAGTCCACAGGGATGACCGACAGTTCCCCAAACATACTGGGTGATCTCTTGCCCTGGTTTTTGCTCACCCTGCTCCTCTTCTCTCTCCATTCACCTGACCCCTACCCATCTTCCAAAATGCAGGTCAGGTGTCTTCTCCTCCAGGAAGCCTTCCTTGACTACCTCCCCATTCCCATTGGGGGCCCTGTTGGCTGCTTCCTTCGGCCCTGATTATCCTGAGTTGTTATTACCTATTTCTGAATCTTCTCCCATGTGCTACTCCCCTCCCCCACCAACCTTGCCAGAGACTCACCTTGGAGTCCCCAAGTGCCCTGCACAGGGACAGGCGTAGATATGATAACCTCTATAAAGGGTGAGTGAGTGAAGAAATGTGGTGAGGCCTGGGGCCTGCTGGAGGTCCCTGGACTGCCCTCCCTTCTGAGGATGGCCTTCAGTGTGGGAAACTTGATCTGTGTCATTCTGGCTGTGACCTTGCTGCTCTGCCCAAATTCCTGCCTGTTTCCTGCCCTTCTTGTCTTTCTGGGATACCCCCACCTTCCTTGCCTTCTTTCTCCACCTGCTGAAATCGTAGCCCTTTTAATAATTTCATAAAATGAGTCTAAATCGTCTTCTTTAACTACCTTAACAACCTTATGGGGTCGGGGCAGGTATTGTTCTTAGATTGCAGGGGAATTGAGATTTAGGTTGTGGAAAGGAAACGTGTCCAGGTCCTGCAGCTGGGAATGGCAGAACTGGGATTTCCCACTTTTCCAGTGTCCTCCTGTGCTCCTCCATGGTGTTCTGGGTCCAGGTTCTCTGTTTCCCTTCACAGCACCCCACCTCCAGCAAAGGCAAGCAGCAGAGCGTTCCAGAATGGTGATGGGTCACTCGCCCCTTCCAGCCGAGCCAGGTGGGCAGGCGAGCGGGTACATTCTGCAGCCACCCTGGTGAACAAGCTGGAATGTTGTCTAACCATCCTGGAAATTCCTCAGCTGGCCTGGAAACTTCCCCAGCCATTCCTCCTGACATTGGGCTCACTAGCCTGGAGCCACAGAGAGACAGACTCAGCATGGGGTAGAGGCAGAGTCAGGTCAGTGGGGCAGGTAGTCTGCATGTTAAGCTTTGCTCTGCCCTTGACTCACTGGTGACCTTGGGTGAGAACTTGGACTACTCTTTCTGGCATTAGTTTTTTTTTACCATGAGATGGATACAATAACCATCATNTTTGACAGATGAGGAAGGCCTGAGGACAGGGTTGGCATCATGGGTGTGTGACCTGTACAGTTACACCGGGCCCCAGGCTTCAAAGGACCCCAATCTAGGCTTAATGCTCTGCTATCCCATCTTAAAATTCTTACTAGTTCTTTAACAAGGGGCCCATATTTTCATTCTACCCTGAGTCCTGCAAATTATGTAGCTGGTCCTGCTTGTGGGGAGGTGGAGCAGAGGCTTGCCCAGGACTGGACTAGGCTTTCTGCCTTACAGGCTGCCTTCCGTGGGTGCCTGCATCCTAGCATGCCAAGAGGGAGAGCTTGCAGACTGCGTTTGGCATCAGAGGCCTGGCCCCTGCCTGGGAAACCTGAGGAGCACAGTTCCCAGTCGGTGAGGCAGGCAGGACTGTCCAGGCCTAAGCAGTGGTCCGGAGAGCAAACAAGACAAGGCTGCTGGAGCCAGCCCAGCCCTGTGTAACCAGAGCCACAGTGTGGGTTTAATGCCATGTCTCAGCCATCACTCCGGGAACTCAGCAGGGCCCTCCTTCCCAGCAGGTTGCAGTTCTAGGGCCAGGGGCCCTACCACAGATTCATTGTATAAATTGGGACATTCACTTCCGCTTTCTGAACTTCAGTTTCCCTATATGTAAAATGGTAATGAAAACACCTACCTCACAGGGTTCTGGTGAAGATTAAATGAGATACTTTAGCACAATGACTAGCACAAAGAAGGTGATCACTAAATAGAGTTCTTACTCATTCACTCATACAACAGATATTCATGGAGGCTAACCAGGTTTAACAGGGACAATGCTAGGTGCTGGACATTTAACTGTGAACAGGATGGACCCTAGCTCCGATCTCAAAGAGATCCTCATTAGAGGGGGAGATAGACATCTACAGCGACAACAATGGTGTGGTAAGTGTGACAAAGGGAGGTACCTGATAGGGTGCCTGGACTGGGCCTTAGAGGAGCCATGTTGGGGAGCTAGGAGAAGAAGCCAAGGGCAGAAAATCGTGATGTGTCACTGCAGGCAGAGGGAGCAGCAAGCAGCAGGCAGGAGGTCAGTGAGAGCCCAGCACTACCTTGTGACTGGATTACAGGCAGATGAGGCGGGAGGTGGGAAGACCTGGTCTGGCAGGCTGCAGAACCCGCTTTCTCTTGAGGATATTGGGGTTACTAGAGGGTGTGATGCAGGCAATGGCCTGGAGAGGTGACAGAGATACCACCCTAACCTGTGAAGGAGGGCTTGCAGGTCTCATGTCCCAGCTTAGTGAGGAGGCCTGAGCCAGGGCCTGGCCTCCACACCCAGCACGGGTTCTCAGAGCAGGTTTTCTTAGGGGAGATGATAGAAGGCGAGAGAGAGAAGATGAGAAGCCTTGAGAGAGCCAAATGCCTCCTTAGGGGTAGCGAGACAGGAAGCCTCCTAATGCATGAGGAGAAGCACTCCTGCGTTGTCCTNAAAAAAAATTAATAGTTTTCCTCCCACCTTCTAAGTTCTTCTAGCTGGGCTAATAATCAAATTAATAGAGACAGATTAATAGGGAAAAATAAAAATTTTAATGCATGGGAAATTCACATAGGCATGAAAATTCCAAAGACAATGACGCAACACTGGGTATATATGACATTTTGGACAAAGGAGGAAATGGGGGAATGAAGTCTTAGATTTCAGAAGTAAGAATGGGCTATTTACAGGTAGTTGAGGAAGAGAAGAATGCACAGTGAAGGCAAATCCTTGCTAGGCAACTCAGAAACAATAGGGCACAGGGAGTATCTAGCTAACAGACCCCTGCCTGAAGGCCTCCTATTAACCATAATTCAAGTTAGGCTAAAGCGAACATCCTAAGATTTCCTTCCTGAAGCAGGTTTTTCTACCTGAAATCTCTTGGGCAGGAAAGTGGAGAAAAGCCAGAGTTTCTTTCTGAGTATTATTTCTTGATAAACAGCTTAAAATCAATATCCAAAAAAGGCAGCTTCAGGGTGGCAAAACTTTGGTCGCCTTCAGATTCATGGTTTAAGAAGACCTGCAACTGCCGTATGAAAGATGGACAGGATGGGCAGGGGTGGAGGCAAAGAGACCAGTGAGGGGGCTGGCGCCATGTGGAGGAGAAACACAGGCCTAAGGCTGTGGGGTGGGGAAAAGTGCCATCGCTAAGCCACTTCAGCAGTTGAACTGACAGGTCCTGGTGAGTGATGGTTTCACATGGGTGGGAAAGAGAGAGGTTGTCAAGGACATATTGGAGTTTGAAACCTGGAAGGATGGATGGTGGAGACCCTTCTCAGAAATCAGAGATTGGCTTTGAGAAAGTGCTGTGCTCCACCTTAGTCTATTGAAGGCATCCCCTAAGGAGTAGACAGGGTGTGACCCTAGCCAGAGTGGCATGTAAAGGAGAACCCAAGGTAGAGGAGACTGGCACATAGCTACCAGCCCACTAGCCCAGGTCAGCCTGAGGCTCCCGGGGAAAGGTACACCAGGAAAACAGTGGCCCAGGAGTATTTCCCAGTGCTCCCGCCTCCTGTTCTATTCCTGCGCCCACCCATCTCTTCTCTCCACCTTGCCCCACACTTGCACTGCACTTACAGCTTGGGGACCTGGCCTCAGCTTTCTTGGACCCCACTCCCCCATTGTAGAGAAATGAAGGAGATGGGAAAAGGCCGGGGATGTTAGTTTTTTCCCGTGATGTGTCTGAGGTTCTGGTGGATGCTGGGACCTCACACTACCAGGTGACTATCCCCTCACAGAAGCCCTGTGCCCAGTGTGTGTGAGACAAAAACCAGGGCCAGAATCCAGACCACCCGGGTTCCGGTCTTGCCTGTGTCCCTGACTTCCTGTGAGGATTTGGGCCTCAGTTTCTTCCTCTGTCAAGTGGGAGTTTGGCACAGGTGATTGCGAAAGGCTGTTCCCGGCCCTGACTAGGACTGTATGTATGAGTGTGCAGGTGCACTGCATGTACATTTCAGTGTGACTGTGTGTGTCTCTTGTGTAGCTGTGTGTGTAGGCGTGTCCTTACTTGTGTGTATTCATGTGTGTTTGAAACACCTATGGAGGAATGATTAGA